TGGGAAATCAGGATGATCAGTGAAGATGTTTCTACATTCACAGATCAGTCAGTCTCTTAATAACAGGACCTGAGAGGCTTTTCATCCCAGCAGACTCACTTTTCAGGACTCAGTTCCTCCTGGGTTCCTCACATCTGGGCCGGATCAAGATTCTGTTGCTATAAAGATGAATATAGTGATGCTGGGTAGAGAGGAGAGTCAAACAAAGCCTTTCAGCCTGAAGTGAAGTTACTCTTTAATGAAACCACCATCTTTACTGAACCTTTACTGAGAGCTGCTGAAAAACAAGTTCAACCTGCTGCAGCTGCCACTCGCAGATCATGCAGAGAAACACAAATGAGACACGCTGACGATGAAAAGTGTTTCTTCATCACGTTGATGAAAATGTGACCCTGCAGCTTTTTTGTTTCTCTGTTTCACATCAGCGCTGCCTGAATGTAAGTTTTAGGATGCAGCGTTGGTTCATGAAGTTTCTGAAGTGGATTTTGAGACATAAACATGTTTCCACTGCTCGAGAACTCAGAGAACATATTTAAACCTGAGGCTGTGATTTACAACATGAAACATCTTTGAGTCTTTACTGTCTGCAAATGAAGGAACGAGCTGTTATGAAACCATCACAGAGGCTGCTTCAGGTTCAGGTTTTGGTTTCAGGGTTTCTCCTTTGTTGCACTTAAAGGGTTATTTAGTTTGGACAAACATGCTAAAGATCATCAGTGTGTCATGTCAACCCTCCAGCCTCTCTGACTGTGAGTCCCAGCAGCTCTCAGCTGTTTGAAGAAGAGTTTGTCTCTCTGAGCTGTGAGGAGGACGACAGCTCTGCTGGATGGACGCTGAGGAGGAACACAACCAGAGGAACCAGGACTCAGTGTGGAGCTGACTGGGGAAGATCAGCTGGTTCTTCCTGTAACATCAGCTACATCTTCCCATTGGACAGTGGAGTTTACTGGTGTGAGTCCAGAGAGGGAGCAACCAGTAACACCATCAACATCACTGTCACTGGTAAGATCAGACTGTGGAGTTAGTGTTGATGAAGCTGTGTGTAAACTTTAGATAGTTTTTGTTTTGTAACTCATGACTCAAGACTCTCAAAACTACAATGTATGACATAGTAAAGATCAGGTGACACAGAAGGAAGAGCTGAACAAGAACTGTTGAATGACTGGAAATAATGTGCCTTCATTATAATTTCATAATTATCTATTTTATTTAAATGTTGTATTTTTTCGTGTCCTAAGTTGACCTAACATGAAAGTTTGCTATCACTAGTATAGTTATTATTTTTACTGGAGCCTTGCTGCTCTTTTATGTTTGTATGGTTTTGAAGAATGCAAATAACTTCCTGACAAGATTTTGTACAATTGTAAATAAAGAGGAAAACAAAATCTAGAGATTCACCTGACCAGGTGGATTCTCTCTACAGTTAAACCTACAACCACAGACCCGCCCACCTCTGTAGCCCCGCCCCCGGCCTCAGTCCCCCTCCAGCTTGTGTTCAGACTGGTCTGCCACCTGGTGGTGTTCTGTCCGTACTGCATCTCCACTGTCCTCATGGTGTGTTTACATCGACGCAGGCCCACAGGTAACACTCTGACTCATTCACTGACCTCACAATCAATCAATCAATCAATCAATCAATCATCAGTCTCTGTCTGGTGTTGATCATTGAGTTGTCTCTAACAGAAGCTCTTTTTTCTTTTTTTTTTTTCTAACCTGCTCTGACTTTAGGAAATGACCTGCCCGTCTCCATGGTGATGATCCCGCCGACCCAGGTTGAGGAGGGATTGGATGATGACTATGATGACGTCATCAGCTGATCAGAGATCAAAGTAGTTCACCCTGCTGATCATTACATGGTTCACTTTAAAAGAGACGTCAGTACAAACTGTTGTTTCTGTGAAGACCATCCAGAAACTGTTTGCAGCTCTCCTGGTTCGGTTTACACACCAGAACATTTTGGCAGATTCATCACTGACCGTGTTTATAAAGACTTTATTGTGGGAGAATGTGGTGTTTTCATTTAATAGAAGTGAAAGTAAAGAAAATATTTACTTTATTATAAATTTATTAGTTGGCAAAATTCCACATTCATAAATAATTTTAAAAAACTAATGTTGTTCTTTTTGTCCATGAGGTTGTGCTTTAAATTAATTTGATTTCTGGCTCCAACAACAAAAAGGTGGTTAAAACTGTCAACATGTGCTCGTCTTTCTTTTTCTAATAGCCTCTAAGCTTCCCCTGGCAAAGCTTTATTTTATTGTGTCTGTGTTTTATATGTTTGTATGCTGGTGTGTTTATCTTCATCTTTGTAAGTCTCATCTGAACTGTTTATTAAAGAAACAAATGATAAAACTTTGCAGTGTAGAATCAAAAGTGCATTACTTGGTACACCAGGTTTAATTAATGTCGTAGGAAGAACGTGAAGTTTTGTGCCAACATTCGATCCGGGAACCGAATCGACCAGATCTAGTGACACACGTCCACTAATACTGAAGCTTGGTTTGGTGTCTGGTCTGCTTCTGCACCCCCTCCTCTCTTTCTGACCTTCTCAGGAGAGAAAACCTTCCTGTGAGCTCGAGAATATGGACAGAGCATCAAGACTGTCGTGATCTTATTTAACCTTCTCACTCACTTCCTGTATAAATCTACATGCAGCCTCTACACGTGTGTATAAATAATAACAGATGTAACAGCCTTTTATTTATTTTGTCACACCATAAATTGTAGAAATCACAGCCCATCACAGAACAGCTACAAAAACAAGGGGGGCCCGGGGACCTCTGTTAAGGCTCCTGAGCTGCTGCCTCCAACTTATAAAGTTCCTGTTTACAGCTCCCTTAGCAACAGGAGGAGCCCCCCACTCTGCTCCCCATCACCATACTCAACAGCCCTGAGTCTGCTGTGGAATCCTTCAGGTTTCTGGGATCCACTATATCCCAGGACCTGAAGTGGGAGCCCAACACACCATGACACCATCATGAAGAAGGCCCAGCAGAGGATGTACTTCCTGCGTCAGCTCAGGAAGCTCAACCTGCCTAAGGAGCAGCTGATCCAGTTCTACACAACCATCATCCAGTCTGTCCGCTGCACCTTCATCACTGCCTGGTTTGGATTTGTCACCAAAAAGGACAGGAGCAGACTACAACGGACAGTCAGGACTGCAGAAAAGATCATCGGTGCAGATCCATCTCACCCCGGACTCAACCTGTTCCAGCTCCTCCCCTCTGGTAGGCGCTACAGAGCGCTGTACGCCAAAACCAACAGACTCAGGAACAGTTTCTTTCCACAAGCCATCACTCTGATGAACAGCTGACTCTGCCTCACAGTGTCAGGAACAATTCCTGTGCAATAACCCAGTAACTCTGTCTCTAATCAGCCACCTGTTTACTGTCTAACACCTATTATTTATTCACCATTCTCTATATCAGAGCTGTTCATATTCTTATTGTAAATTGTATATACTGTATAGTGGGGTGGTCATGGCGCAGTGCATAAGACGCCTTTGGTGTGAGAGATCCGGGTTCAATTCCCCACTGTGACACATCCACCAATGTGTCCCTGAGCAAGACCCTTAACCCGTAGTTGCTCCAGAGGTGTGTGACCTCTGACATACAGTGAGGAAAATAAGTATTTGAACACCCTGCTATTTTGCAAGTTCTCCCACTTAGAATTGTCATCGTAGGTGCACGTCCACTGTGAGAGACATAATCTAAAAAAAATATATCCAGAAATCACAATGTATGATTTTTTAACTATTTCTTTGTATGATACAGCTGCAAATAAGTATTTGAACACCTGAGAAAATCAATGTTAATATTTGGTACAGTAGCCTTTGTTTGCAATTACAGAGGTCAAACGTTTCCTGTAGTTTTTCACCAGGTTTGCACTGCAGGAGGGATTTTGGCCCACTCCTCCACACAGATCTTCTCTAGATCAGTCAGGTTTCTGGGCTGTCGCTGAGAAACATGGAGTTTGAGCTCCCTCCAAAGATTCTCTATTGGGTTCAGGTCTGGAGACTGGCTAGGCCACGCCAGAACCTTGATATGCTTCTTACAGAGCCACTCCTTGGTTATCCTGGCTGTGTGCTTCGGGTCATTGTCATGTTGGAAGACCCGGCCTCGACCCATCTTCAATGCTCTAACTGAGGGAAGGAGGTTGTTCCCCAAAATCTGGCAATACATGGCCCCGGTCATCCTCTCCTTAATACAGTGCAGTCGCCCTGTCCCATGTGCAGAAAAACACCCCCAAAGCATGATGCTACCACCCCCATGCTTCACTGTAGGGATGGTGTTCTTGGGATGGTACTCATCATTCTTCTTCCTCTAAACACGGTTAGTGGAATTATGACCAAAAAGTTCTATTTTGGTCTCATCTGACCACATGACTTTCTCCCATGACTCCTCTGGATCATCCAAATGGTCATTGGCAAACTGAAGACGGGTCTTGACATGTGCTGGTTTAAGCAGGGGAACCTTCCGCGCCATGCGTGATTTCAAACCATGACGTCTTAGTGTATTACCAACAGTAACCTTGGAAACGGTGGTCCCAGCTCTTTTCAGGTCATTGACCAGCTCCTCCCGTGTAGTTCTGGTCTGATTTCTCACCTTTCTTAGGATCATTGAGACCCCACGAGGTGAGATCTTGCATGCAGCCCCAGTCCGAGGGAGACTGACAGTCATGTTTAGCTTCTTCCATTTTCTAATGATTGCTCCAACAGTGGACCTTTTTTCACCAAGCTGCTTGGCAATTTCCCCGTAGCCCTTTCCAGCCTTGTGGAGGTGGACAGTTTTGTCTCTAGTGTCTTTGGACAGCTCTTTGGTCTTGGCCATGTTAGTAGTTGGATTCTTCCTGATTGTATGGGGTGGACAGGTGTCTTTATGAAAATGAAATGAAAATAAATCCTGAGGGGGGCACTAATGCACCACCATAGATACCAACTTACGTAAGACGTCCCGTGATGCACTGCGTGGCCTGTTGCCAGGATACAGAACGTCCACCTCGGTAGCTAGCTGCTAGCTGCCGTCGCTAACGGCACTTTGACGCAGATACACTCCGTTAGAGGGACATTTAAAACATTTAAAACGCATAAAGAGAGTCAGATTATTCGGTTACACCCGGTTTACACCGCGGGTATGTTGTCTCGACCGGTTTGAAACCTCCGGTGTCTCGGCTTGATGCTAGGTGGCTAATGCTATCCGGAGTAGTTAAAGTAAACGGCTGACTAACGGCTGACTAACGGTTAACACAGTCGGCCAGTCACACGGTTTAAGCGGGTCTAACCGGGAGGTAAATGTGTGCCCGGGTGGTCCGGTAGCGTCCCATGGAGCGGGCTGACCGGGACAAAGACGCCAGACTGCTGAAGAACCAGCCGTACGACGAGAGCCTGGAGGTGGCCGACTCCGAGGAGGTGGCGAGCGTCTGCAGCCCGACTCCCCGCAGCCAGCGACAGGTAGCGACTCCGGCCCTCACCGGGAACATCCACGGCTCTTCTGCCCGCCTCCAGGCTGGCCCCGGCCGCAGGGTCCTGCTGCTGTGTGCCTGAGATTATACTGTGTATTCATCAGAAATACCTGCAAGAAGTACTTCATTAGTAAAAGTACACAAGTGTTCTCGTGTGGTTAAAGTAGCAGCAGTAAAAGTACACAAGTGTTCTCGTGTGGTTAAAAGTAGCAGCAGTAAAAGTACACAAGTGTCCTCGTGTGGTTAAAGTAGCAGCAGTAAAAGTACACAAGTGTTCTCGTGTGGTTAAAGTAGCAGCAGTAAAAGTACACAAGTGTTCTCGTGTGGTTAAAGTAGCTGCAGTAAAAGTACACAAGTGTCTCGTGTGGTTAAAGTAGCAGCAGTAAAAGTACACAAGTGTCCTCGTGTGGTTAAAGTAACTGCAGTAAAAGTACACAAGTGTCCTCGTGTGGTTAAAGTAGCTGCAGTAAAAGTACACAAGTGTCCTCGTGTGGTTAAAGTAGCTGCAGTAAAAGTACACAAGTGTCCTCGTGTGGTTAAAGTATCTACAGTATGGATCATGTTTATGGATCAGGTTTATGGATCAGGTTTATGGATCGGGTTTGTTTGAGCCGGCCTCCTCTGACATCACTGACTTCTGTCCTTTAGTCCAGGAGGAACAGAAAGGGGCGTGGCCTGATGTCGGCCAACAGCGGCAGTGACGAGTTCGATGACGACCACAAGCCCCTGAGGGCCATCCAGCCCACCGGCGGGCTGCCTGGGCTCAGTCCACACGAGGGGGAGGAGGAGGAGGAGGAGGAGGAAGAGGAGGAGGACTCTGATGAAGAGGACTCTGACGATGATGACGAGCCCAGCGAGGCTCCAGAGGGGGCGTACGACCCCGCCGACTACGCCAACCTGCCCGTCAGCACCGAGATCAAAGAGCTGTTCCAGTACATCACACGGTGAGGATGCTGACGTACTGTCTGAAGTGCTTCGCTGTTATCCAGGTCAGGCTGGATCTCAGGGTAGTTGGGGTCGTTTTCTGGGTATGAAGTGGAAAACAGGGTGAATGTGTCTCCAATCAAAATGTATTTTCCACCTGGTGCACGGGGGTTTTACTTTAGCTCGCATGTTTAGTCGCTGACAGACTCGGTGACGTCCTCCGTCATGTGTGCCCTCAGCTACAGCCCTCAGTCCGTGGAGCTGGAGCACAGCCTGAAGCCCTTCATCCCGGACTTCATCCCGGCGGTCGGAGACATCGACGCCTTCCTGAAGGTACGAACGCACCCTGGCTGCAGAAACAGGGCGCGCTCAGGTAGCTCCGCAGGCGTCCGTCTTTATTTTAACTCACAGGAACTAAAGACAGTGTTCGTTCATGTGTCCGTCTGTCACATAACTAGGGCTGACTCCAAATACTCGAAGACTCGATGCTTCGATAGGAGGAGCCTGATCTCACAGTCGAAGCTTCGCAGAGCCGTTAAGAAACGAGGACCGTACCACTTTATATATGATATGGGGGTGCTCAGCGTTTACATAGAACTGCCAGTTTCCTCCCAATAAGTTAATCTACAGCCTGTTATGATTTAAAGAACATATAACGCTGTAAATAAACGTGAAAAGAATGTAATGAATCAAGCACAACTCGGCACAAGACCAGTGAACGGCAGGTGAGCAGAGTAGAGTGTGCAGGTGAAAGTCATTAACGTGACTTTGATTTTATCGATCATGTTAAAGTTCAGCAGCAGCCGCAGTCACTCATTAAACAGCTGTCTGTGCACAACAGGGAGAACCGCACGGACCGTCCGGAGCTGCACTTCTGCATTCCCGAGTTCCGCCTTTTTCGATCCGTCAACATTACGTTATCAGTTAACCTCTAAAGCAGCGGTTCTTAACCTGGGGGGTCGGGAGAATTCTGCTATAGTCACAAAAATAGAAAACAAATAATTTAAAAATAACTAGATGGACTAAAGTTGTGAATCACTTTGGGTGGACACTGTTTAATGCAGCAGGTGGCGTGACGCCAACCGCTATGAGACGACACAGACAGCCTCAGGCCCCGATCACACAGAAAGCGCCCTGCGGGTTTGAAAACGCGAGGCGCACAGCAATGGCTTTTGGTTGAATTTAGAAAAGAGCAAAGCGCTGCGGTTCTTTAATGTTGCTAGGCAACCACTGAATCCTGTCAGTCAAATCAAAGATTATAGCGCCAGCGATCTGTAACTTTCATATTAGCAGAAACTCACAGTTCTGAGTCTTTTGTTGCTAAAAGCATCTTCCAAACGCAGAGCGCCTGCTCTGGCACTGATTGAGTGTATGAGGTGTACAAACACGCAGAGCGATGAGTTAAGTGCAGAGGATGAATTTCAAACATGTATGTGACGATAAAGTACCTTTACCTGTGTGGCGTTCAGGTGCCCAGGCCGGACGGTAAACCGGACAATCTGGGTCTGCTGGTTCTGGACGAGCCCAGCGTGAAACAGTCGGACCCCACGGTGCTGTCGCTGTGGCTGTCAGAGGAAACCAAACAGCACGGAGCCACCGAGGTACTGCTGGTGGTCACCCAGCTGGGTCTCACCCTCACGGCCGCCATGTTTAAACAGCTCTTTTAAGACACAGAGCGTTCATGTTTTTAATAAAACCCCGTCTCTCTCCTCCAGCTGAAGAAGGTGACGAGCGTCGCCAGTCCTCAGAGCAACCCCCGGGCGGTGGACAGCTGGGTGGAGAGCATCAGCGCCCTGCACCGCTCCAAGCCGCCGGCCAGCGTCCAGTACGGCCGGGCCATGCCCGACATCGACAGCCTGATGCAGGAGTGGCCGGCCGAGCTGGAGGAGCTGCTGGGCCGCCTGCAGCTGCCGCCCGCCCGCCTCAACTGCGGCCTGGCCCAGTACGCCGACCTGGTCTGCGGCCTGCTGGACATCCCCGTCTACAGCAGCAGGATCCAGTCTCTGCACCTGCTGTTCAGCCTCTACCTGGAGTTCAGGGACTCGCAGCACTTCACCCGCCGAGCGTAGAGACCGCCAAAGCCTGTGACAGCTGTTTCTGACCTTAAAGCTGCTCGTTTCTATTTACAGATACTTTCTTTACTGCTTCCAATGATAAAACACCTGGTCATTATTTTTTATTATATTAGCAGAAATCTTTGTTTCCTTTTGTCTCTTATTCCTCCATAACTTCTTATGTTCATTTGCCTTTCTTCATGTGTTTGAAGGCGTAACAAATACAAATGTTTAAAGTCAAATAAAGAGACATTTCTGCACATTTCCAGGTTGGAAGTCAGCTGCAGTCAGTCTCTCTCAGACGAGTAACTCGTGTTTGTGTTAGAATCGTTTTAGCACTTATTTCGTTTATTTCTGTTCAGCTCTTTAGTGTTTCTTCTTCTGTGTCTGAGGGTTTAGGTTTGATGTTGCAACAACTCAAAAAGAAAGTGTGTAAATATTCCGTGGCAGATTTTTAACGAGAATCACATTTAGATTTCACTGATCCACTTTGTGATAAATCTTATATTAAATCCGTGAGAGAAAAAAAACCCTCTGCCTTTGTGTCTTTCTCCCACAATGCATTGCACTATTATTGTTGGGGCTGCCTGTCCAACATGGCGGCTCCTGGCTGCGTCTTCCACAGAACCCTGACCCGGTCTAGACCCGGTCCGAACAAGGTCTGCACCGCAGTCATCGTCAGCATCATCATTACTTTTTAAGAGAGTCTTTATTGATTGATGTGTCGGCGCTGTAACGTCAGCTGAGCGCGCGCTGAAACCTCCCTCTCTCCTCTGGGTTCCCGCTAACATCGTCCTCCTGCTCGGATACAACGTCAACCAGACTCTCTGCAGATATCTACCGATTTAACGTCGCTCTGCTCATTAGCTGTCCCGCTCCTCCTACTGATTATGACTTGAAGTGTTCATTAAATAAAGAAGTTGGGCTCACATTTAAACAGCCGGTTTGCTTTAACTGGATCAATAAAACGCGGTAGCTTTTAATAAAGGGTCGCCCGTTTCCCCCAGTATGCTGTGATCAGTCACTTGAAATCCAGGTTTTATTTTAACAGATATGGATTGGCCGAAATTGCCTTAAGACCCTAAACATTTAGGGAACAGCTCGGTTTGTGTTGCAGACGCGTTTCTTTCAGTAGTTAACCCCGACAAGCTTAAATTATCTGTTTTTTGAATGGGGTTTGGCGAAAGGAGGAGCGCGGTTAGCTACCTGACACAGCCGCGCTCTCACCATCCAGCAGGATTTAAAAACATCCAGCTTCACTTTCTAACCTGTTGTATTGCTACAAAATAAAATCTACCTACATACCAATAAGTTATTAAGTATGAAATGACATTTTGTAGGTTTAGTTTGGGGTTTATTTAATGTTTTCTCTTTAAAATCAACACACGTTAAACTGATAGAACATCTGGCAATGATGATGTACTGAATCACAAAGAGCTTCAAACTGCATCACCAGGCACTTCTTCACTAATACTTCTTCTTTTGTGGTGGTCGTCTCGCAGGTGTCCTCCTCGTCTCCTGCCGTCTGCAGGGAGTCTCTGTATGTGGTGGACCTGCAGCGGTACAGCAGAGACCAGGGGTCCTCGGTCTACTTCCCCCAGGCTGTCCTCAACGGTGGGTGCAGGACGAGACGGGACGACCGTACCAGAGGGCTGTTTCACAAAAGCAGAACCTAGAAATAACAGAGAAAGAGCTGCTCTTAATTGAAACTGTTGATAACGTTACCAATGAAAGAGTTAAGCTACTTTTTTATTTCTCAAATAAACAGATGTACACTTTAAAGTCAGCAGACATTAATATGTCTCTCAGGAAATGTATTAATTACAACCACTAATCCACACACACTAAATAGGATATATATATTATTGGTCCATAGGCTGGGGGAGAGAGAGAGGCAGGAAGTCAGTGATGAGGTGCTCAAACAATATCATGTATTTGTAACAGGACCCTGAGGCTGCAAGGCCTGACAGGTAATGCAGTAAGTATAACTGAATCCACACTTCCTGCTGCGCTAACTGATGTGTGTTTTACAAACTGCCAGATGGACCTAGACATGGAGATAAAAACAGACACTGAGAAAACTGAGTTGGAAATCTAGAGACTTGAAAGAGAAGTAATAATTTGCACACTGTGAGCACGACTCCACAAACTTAAAATATATTTAAATATATATATTTAAAAGAGGGAAATAGAAAATAAAACAGGATAAAATATAATTTTAAAGAGTTAAATAGGAAATAGAAACTGGGTAAAACAGGACAGTAAAAGTCACAGTGCAGTGCACGACATTAATCCACAGCCTTACATTAGACTTAATTAAAGGCAGTAGAGCTGGGCGATACGGCCAAAATGTTATCACGATAAAAACATCTGAAACGATTCGATATCAATAATTATCACAATGTCAAATCATTATTTCTTTCAAGTTTCAAGGCAGATTTATGCTCCTGAGTGAAAATTGAAGAAACCAGATGGTTAATTATGTGGTTAAACTTTTCTTCATGGTCAGAACAGGACAAACACTTGATGTCAAACAGTGGATCACTTCACAAATCTGACGTGGAACATTTAAAACTATTAACTGGTTTGTGTCTCCAGGCGATGACCTGTACGACGTCACGCTGACAGACGGGGATTGCAGGCTTCGGGTGACTCTGGATCCCGGTCTGAACCGGCTGGTGGAGAGAAACGTCCTGCGGCCCGGCTCGACGCTGTGGAACGCCACCTTCACCCCGGCCATGACCGCTCAGCTCCCAGAATGCCCCGGGGCCTCGGCAGAGACGGACAGGTGAGTGAGGACAGGTAGCCTCTCCTGATGGGACGCGCTCGGTCCCGGTTTAATGCTCCTGCTCCTGCAGCTACAGACTGGCGAGCGTGGAGGTCAGAGGCGGAGCCCTAGGTGACCGTGAGGATGAGGGGGGCAGGAGGTTCGACGTGGACTCTCTGCCCTGGTTTGGATCGTCAGAGCCAGCAGGTAAGACTGTGTGGCCCCCCCATCAGACAGAATCCAGTCCCCGCTGCACCGTAATGATTGTGATTGGTTGATCTGGCAGGTCCTGCGGTGCCTCTGAGAGCCAATAGGAGCGTGTTTCTCCCCCTGTGGAACAACATGGACTACAGCGGGGAGGTGTGGAGGGAAACCCCGCCCACTGAGGAGGACGAGGAGGAGGACGAGGAGGAAGGTCAGTGTTTACTTCTAAATTAGGTGTTTATCTTAATTAAGTTTTACTACGACTGTGTTGTATAAAGCGAAAATGTTTCTGAAGTGAATTTCTAAATGTGATTAATTGAATATTTATTTCTGGCGGTAAAATCAGCGTGTGTGTTGACAGCGCTACGACCCGCTGTGACCGTGTCGGAGCTGCGTGACTCCTTCCTGTCCAGTCGCCGGGGCGTTGCCAGGGGTGCCTTCCAGCATCAGCTGATTGTTCGCATCATCAACAAGTCGCACCTGATGTATTATGGGAGAACAGACCGCAACTGTGAGTGTCCATATAAGGTCAGAGAACGCACACACACACACACACACGTCTGACATGTGAAAGTGATTTAGTTCCAAAGTTCACGTTGGTTTTGTTTTCAGACTGCACCGAGCGCCATAAAGAACTAAACAATAATGATAAATATCGCAATATAACTTTCCTCAATAATAATATAATACATTTTTGATTTAATTCATTAGAATCACGAACAACGTAGCACTTCATTTTTCTATTAAAATATTTATTTTGTTGGCCTGAAAAAAGATTACAGTGGGGGGAAAAAGTATTTGACCCCTTGCTGATTTTGCAGGTTTGCCCACTTACAAAGAATGCAACAATCTACAATTTTAATCATATGTACATTCTAACAGTGAAAGACAGAATCCCAAAGAAAATTCCAGAAAATCACATCATATGAATTTATAAAAATTGATAACCATCTGATGAGGAAACCAAGTATATGACCCCCTACCAAACAGCAAGTATTCTGGCTCCTACAAGCCAGTTAGTCTTTCTTTAAGACACAGCTCCAATCCCAACCAATTATCTACATCAAATACACCTGCCTCACCTCGTTACCTGTATAAAAGACACCTGTCAACACCCAAACAACCAGCATCCAACATCACCACCATGGGCAAGACCAAAGAGCTTTCTACGGACATCAGGGACAAGATTGTTGATCTGCACAAGGCTGGGATGGGCTACAAGAGAATCGGAAAGCAACTTGGAGAGAAAAGATCAACTGTCGGTGCAGTTATCAGGAAATGGAAGAAGCACCACACCACCGCCAACCTCCCTCGGTCTGGGCCTCCACACAAGATCTCGCCTCGTGGGGTGTCCCTGATCATGCGAACGGTGAGGAATCATCCCAAAACCACAAGGGGGGAACTGATGAATCAACTGAAGGCAGCTGGGACCACAGTTACAAAAGAAACGGTTGGTAACACACTACGCCGTCATGGATTGAAATCCTGCAGCGCACGCAAGGTCCCCCTGCTCAAGAAGAAACATGTACAGGCCCGCATGAAGTTCGCCATTCACCACCTGGACGACTCAGAAGAGGCCTGGAAGAAGGTGATGTGGTCAGATGAGACCAAAATAGAACTTTTTGGACTCAACTCGTCGTGTTTGGAGGGCAAAGAACACCGAGTACAACCCAAAGAACACCATCCCCACCGTCAAGCATGGTGGTGGCAACATCATGCTTTGGGGGTGCTTTTCAGCCAAGGGGACGGGACAACTCCATCGTATTGAGGGGAGGATGGACGGGGCCATGTATCGTGGAATTCTGGACCAACATCTCCTTCCCTCAGTGAGAGAGCTGAAGATGGGTCGAGGACGGGTGTTTCAGCACGACAACGACCCTAAGCACACCGCCAAAGCAACAAAAGAGTGGCTGAAGAAGAAGCACATCAAGGTTCTGGAGTGGCCTAGCCAGTCTCCAGACCTGAATCCAATTGAAAATCTTTGGAGGGGGCTTAAAATTCGAGTTGCCAGGCGACAACCTCGGAACCTGAATGATTTGGAGGCTGTCTGCAGGGAGGAGTGGGCCAACATCCCTGCCGAAATGTGCACAAACCTTGTCACCAACTATAAAAACCGTTTGACATCTGTGCTGGCCAATAATGGCTTTTCTACAAAATATTAACATGCTGTTTGTCCAGGGGGTCAAATACTTGTTTTTCCTCATCAGATGGTTATCAATTTTAATAAATTCATATGATGTGATTTTCTGGAATTTTCTTTGGGATTCTGTCTTTCACTGTTAGAATGTACATATGATTAAAATTATAGATCGTTGCATTCTTTGTAAGTGGGCAAACCTGCAAAATCAGCAAGGGGTCAAATACTTATTTCCCCCACTGTAACTAATCATATTTGTTGAAAAAGATAATAGTTTTAAATGTTCCACATCAGATTTGTGAAGTCATCCACTGTTTGGCATCAAGTGTTCGTCCCGTTCTGACCATGAAGAAAAGTTTAACCACATAATTAAACATCTGGTTTCTTCAATTTTTTTCAGGAGCATAAATCAGCC